GTTAATGTGTGTGTGTGTGTGTGTGTGTGTTTGTGTCTTGAGCGTCTACGTATTCATCTTGCTGCAGCAAATTCCCCTTTGTGATGATTGATAAAATAATGATATCCTGTCTAATCTTATCTCAGTATAATAATATACATTTTATATACTAGCCTAAGTAAAAATTGTTTCTCAGTGACTACCATACTACGAATCCTCCTAGAATAGATTCACAACACTGTGGCTCAAACGTTTGGACCTGGGAAAGTAATAATCAGTGAGTAGCCTTAGGGTACGGAGTCCTAAGACGAGCACGTCAGTGTGCGTAGCAATTTTTGTATTGTCCGACGACCGTGCCGATTATCGTCTGGACAGCTCTCAGACATTGAGACCGCTCGCTCAGCATTGTGGGTCAATCTTCAGGGGCTACACCTTGTGGTTCGTTGAGCTGAGCAATTTAGTCGTTTGATTTTCTTTTTCTTTCGTTTTCAATGTTCTCTTGTTTTAAGTTGTTTATTTCTTGTTTTGTTTCTAATCTGTTACTTGTTTGATAATTTCCCTTTTGCTTTAAAAATGCATTGATAACAAATGAAGTCATGCCTTGATGGGCGTTTTCAACGCAGTTTGTTCTTATTATAGTTAATTTTTATCAGAGACATGTGAACTTCATTTGTTTCTATTGTGCGCTGTCCAATTTTGCGTCTGAAAGAGAAAATAAGAAGCGAAAGAAATTGATTTACTTTTTCTCTCACAGGTTTGAGAGACATGATATAGCACTTCTTCCGTCTCTTTTTTTTGTGAGTCCCGTATTGATTTTTTTCCAAGTTCAACAAGACCTAAATAATAGGTTTTTTCAAAGTATTGATTAAATTGGTTTTTTATCAGAGCATTAGTTTGATTTTCAGTAAACAGGCACTCCCGCGAAAAAAAAATTTGAAATGCTGTCAGGTAAAGTACGTAACGTCTTTGTCATTTAAATTCACATTGTAGACAGATGCTGGTCGCTTCGGCATTGCCTGTTTAAAAGCCAAGGTCACACGTTCGCTAGCAGAGACGTCGTGTTGTAAGTGCTAAAACTTGCCGTCACACAAGACACAGGTGTTACAAGCTTTACTTTAATGTTTGCCGCGATACAGAGGTCACAGACGTTACACTTGTTGCAAGCGTTGCCGGTGTTACAAATCAATTGATGTCACTCCGTGATCTAGGAGGTGGAAATGTACTACACAACCGTCCACCAGAGGTACGGGCTGTACAGACCTCTGGGGGGATGAACAAACTGGTGTTCTTTCGACACAGTGCCGGGGATTGTGAGGACTTCATTAGGAGCAAGGCCAGAGAAAATCGAGGGCCAGTTTTCAGGAGCAGCGGTAGATGAGACTGGGTTGGAAAGTCATTGACTGGTGAGTACTATCCGCTGCATAAGATTTAATTCCGTTGTTAAATTCTTCTCATGTTCGTCTGCACAGCGTGTATTGTTTCACAAACCTTTTTATTTTCCTAAACTATGATTTGTGTGAAGGTCAAGGGGAATAGCTTCGTATCTTCCAGCGCTTATAACGATATGGGTGGCTAACTAAACATTATCCGTTTATCTTTTTTGCTATTGAGTGTTTCAAGCTCATATCCTTCCTTCGTTTCTCTTTCCATCTCTCTCTCTCTCTCTCTCTCTCTCTCTCTCTCTCTCTCTCTCTCTCTTCTCTCTCTCTGTCTCTCTGTCCCTCTCTCCCTCTTTGTATGTCTCTCTCTCGCTCTCTCTCTCTGTCTCTCTCTGTCTGTCTCTCCGTCTTTCTCTGTGTATGTAAGATC